GATTAGAGTGACATGTTTCTGATTGGTTTATCAGAGTGACATGTTTCTGATTGACTGATTAGAGTGACATGTTTCTGATTGGTTGATTTTTTGTAACAGGGTGGAGTCTGGAATCGTGGCTGACATCGAGGTGGACGGTTTGATTCCCTCAGACAGTGACACCTTCTATAAGATCAAGAGCCAGCCAGTCAGCAGCAGGTAAGTCACCAGTGAGCTGCACCTGACAGGTGAAACTCTCCAAACTTCCTGTTTTTTCCTGGATCTGGACTTGTTGTTTTGCTCAGATCTTATATAAAATTAAACTTTGTGTTTCTGTCTTCAGCTCCTCAGCAGCAGTTTTCTCCTCCTCTTCTTCTTCTTCAGTTCCATGTGTGATGTCATCCAGGTAAACAGCCGTGCCTCTTCTTCTTCTGTGTTTCTGTGTCCGTCTGAAGGACATGGACACTTTAAGTCAAACCTGTCCTGTCCTCCTGCAGGGTTCTGCTGCGTCAGGATCTGATGCGTCAGCAGGCTCTGGAGGAGGAGCAGAAGGAGGCACAGCAGCAGCATCGCTCCTCCCTGGACTCCTCCTCCCCCATCTGTATGTCTGTGTCCTCCTCCTCCTCCTGCTCCTCCTCCTCCWGCAGACCTGCTCAGGTTCCTGTGGAGGTCCTGAAGGTAGGAGCAGGAGCTGCAGCTCCCAGGAGGAGACAGGAACCTGAGACGTTCCCATGATGCACCTGTACCTGTTCATGTCCAACAGGTGCAGACTCACCTGGAGAACCCCACCAGGTACCACATTCAGCAGGCTCAGAGGCAGCAGGTCCGTCAGTACCTGTCCAACACCAAGACAGCCAATCAGCAGCCAGCTGTGCAGCCGTGCCATGCCCCCAAGCTGGGCTACGCCCCCGGACATCCAGTGGACCCCAAACAAAAAGTATTTCATCAAATAAACACTACATGTACACAAAGGTTTGTTTCAGTCCTGGTCCTGGTCCTGGTCCTGGTCCTGGTCCTGGTCCCGGATCAGATGGACATTAGGACATGGCTCAGCTCAGAACTAAACGGACCTCCAGTTGGTGTTTGCAAAGCAACAGATCAGCAGAGGACTTCCTGTCTGCTGACTCAGTTCCTCCAGAGGATCTGAGTCAGGTTTCAGCTGATCTGGGTCTGACAGAGACCTGCTAGCATGGCTAATGCTACATCCATGGTGTGTCTCACTGTGAGGACCCTGAGCCTGTGTCCACCATGTCCACTGATCCGCTGCAGGGGGTTAGGGTCCTGCAGGGGGTTAGGGTCCTGCAGGGGGGTTAGGGTCCTGCAGGGGGGTTAGGGTCCTGCAGGGGGGTTAGGGTCCTGCAGGGGGGTTAGGGTCCTGCAGGGGGGTTAGGGTCCTTGGTGGAACAGGTCCCTGCTGACCTGGATCAGCTTCAGCTTCAGGAAACCTTCTTCAGACCAGGTGTCACCAGGTAACCTGTGCTTCTCTTCTTAGATGGAGGAAACCATCGTTGATGACATCATCAGCCTGGAGTCCAGCTTCAGTGATGATGCTCTGACTGAGTCTGGACTGCAGCTCACCAGCACGGTAACACACACACACACACACACACACACACACACACACACACACACACACACACACAC